TAACAAGCTTGTAGCTTTCGGTTCGTTGCAGCATTTTTGATAGAATTCGATCCTTTGAATTGCTGAAGTTGTAGTGTTTCAATGTTCTTGGTGTTGTTTATGGTTTGACTGTGACTTCATGGATATGTTCGCTATCAAAGCAGTTTGTTATCATGTGTGAGACTAAAAAGGGTGAATTGCTGCAACATGGTCAATCCATTGTAGAAGTAGACTGTTTGCATTAAAAAGGGAAAAATTTCAGTTGCTTTAGATGAAGTCTCGGCTGAGTTTAATGTTCATGTCCAGATGATCAATTGCTGTTTTTTTTTTTCTATCTTGGGTAAGTTACTGAATCAGTTAATGGGTTAAGGTTCGAATTGTTCCATGGGAATATATCTCGATTAACCAAAAATGGCATGAACATATGTTTCTGCTGACTTTCTTTGCTGCACGCCTGTTATTCTTGTTCATTTTTGGGTTTAGACTATTTCGTTTGAGGGAGTTAGGGGAAGCTTCCATGCTTTTGCTATGTTTAGGATTTATTTTTACAGATGTGTGTGAGTTTGATGAATGAATGATGAAGTTTTTGTATGATATTCTCGGCATTTTACCCATGCTAATATGAAGATGCAAAGCAAAAAATTTTGCAGCAGAGCAAGGTTGCCGTGGCTACTTTGCTGTTTTCTTTCACTGTAACTATGCACTAGGCTTTGGTTTCTTCTAATTTATTGGTTAGTCTTGTGTAGAAAGAGGGGGGGAAGTGGAAGTTTGTTGCTGAGTTTGCACATTTAAATCTTAAATACTTGAATCATGTTGGAAAACTTGGCTGGAACTTGGACAGTTCAAGTGCCGAACCAGTTCTTGTATGTTTGTTTTTCCAGAAATTTGCTGCTTGCGTGACCTTTTGCATGATTTTCTGATGTTTGAACATAAAGATTTTATGTTGGAAAGTGAGATGAATGTTTAATGACCGTGTGGTATCAGTGGTTTGATACTTCGAATTTTTGTTTGTTTGAGATAATAAATCAAAGAGCAAAATGTGGCTGGAATGTTGCAGAAAGTTTAAGAAATGGTTGAAACTTTGTTGCAGAAACATGGCCTTGTAGCAATTCGTATGCATGCATGGGAAAAATCTGAATATTACACTTTGGCCCCCCAAGTCCCCTCTTGACTCACTATGGCCCAAGTAATTGGAACATTTAATCAATTCGATCCCTCAAGCTTTTCCATGTTCCACAAAAGCCCAAGCATGTTCTAATTTCTTGCAAATGGGTTTTAGAATAATTGCAATATGAATTGTTACTTGCCTTTTCCTTTGCCCTTGGACCTTTGAAGTCCCTAAAAGTGTTTGATTAGGTTTGAGTGCTTGGTTAGTGTTCACAATTGAGTCCTTGGTAGCCTCAACTTTGCAACTCGATTGCTCATTTGCTTTCATTTGCTTAGGTGGTACTTAGTGCAAGAGTTTAAGAACTTTGTGTTCAAATGAGCTTGTGTTTGCCTATTTTTCTTGAATTTTCTGGAATAAATGGGCTTTGGCCTTTTTCTTGCTCTTTGACTTTCAAAGTTTCTAAAATGTTTCAATTGGCTTTGAATGGTTGATTAATGCTTGCAATTGAGTCTTTGGTGGATCCCTTTATTGGAAACTATGTATTATTTGACTTCATTTAAATTGCAATTAGGAGAGATTTGGTGATTTTGTTATACTTTACTATTTGAGGTACCGTGACCTTTTTATTGTTTTGAAGCCATTTTTCTTCCATTTAGACACCATTCAAAGAGGGCGGTATAATTTCTTTTATCCCTTTTTGCATCTCCTACGTGATCCAACGTGCTAAGTGAAATACATGTCTACTTTGCTTTCCTAGCCTTTCTTTATTTTCTTTTATTTATGTCATTTACTTTTGTTTTTTTTATTATTTAAGTCATTCTTTATGGGGTATGTGTACACCTCTTGGCTTGTAATAGATAGGGTTTGGAGGAGCATTCGATGAAGAGCTGTTGAAGACTTGTGCCTAGCTAGCAAATGTAATAGTTAGGGCCTTAATCACCTTATGTGTCTTGCATGTCTATGTGCTATATGTTTAATCGTTTTCTTAGGTTTTGGCATTTAGATATGCATGCTAAGTGTTATGTGCTATGTGATTGACATGTCTACTCGCTTTCCATATCCCTGAATGAATGTGATGGATGAATGTACGTTTCCACTAGTCCAACGCTAGTCGGAATTCATAGAATGTGCTAGTCCAACGCTAGACCCTTAGGGATTTCCCCTCGTTAGTACATGTTTGCATGTTTCACTTCATTTCATGCATTTTTCTTAGTTTTATCATTTTGCATGCCCCTCGAACCCCTTTTCCCTCCATTTTAGGATTTTTGCATTTCATGCTAGTTAGGGTTCATTTGCCTGAAGAGTCCCCTTTTGATAAGGGAAACGAGCGAGTGTGGCTATTCGATAGCCTTAGCACGCTAGTTTTGCTTTCTAATCAAAGGGAAAATCGAAGTCGAAAAAGTTAGGAGTCATTCCCATACCCGACCTGATGCATTCCGTTAGGTTCATTCATTCTCATTTTATCACTTATTCATTTCTCAATTCACATTTCCTTATCACTTTTCCTTTCCTTATTATTCATTTTTATTTCTACTTCACAAAAGTGCACTTAATTACACCTATATGCACTTATCACTATATTCATACACTTGCACACAAACACTTGGATTTTTCATACAATTTCACACATGCACCTTTTCATACACTTGCACACAAACACTTGGATTTTTCATACAATTTCACACATGCACTTTTTTATACACTTGCACACTTGCACTTTAGCCATCATTTGCATTAATCGACCTCTATAAGGTTTTCCTTTATTGGCCGCCACAATTCATGTGGTTGGGACCAAAAACCTTACAAGAGACATTTTAGAATTTAGGTTTGCATTTTTTCCTTCCTTTTTTGCATTCATGTAGTGCATCAAATGTAATAAATTCTTTGGTTAAAATAAGAAAAATTTTGGTTAAATCACGCAACTAGCCTTTGGCTAGGTCAACGGGGTGCCTTGGATTTTATCCTTGCCTTCCCCTTTGTCAAATGTGACTCCCGAACCTTTTTTTTTTGGTTTACGTGGACTAGGAGTCGTTTAAAAGGGGTTTCTTACTACTTTTTCCTATTTTTTCTTTAAAAATTCATTTTTTGGTGACTTGGTACACCTTAACTCATTACCAAGTGGCGACTCCAATTTTTATTTCAAACCCTTTTTAAACTATAATTTTGGGTCAAATCGTCGCATTCTCAACCCCCCATTTAGACCCATTTTTCTTTTAAATCACAATTCATTTTCCAATCACAAAAAACACATTTTCAAACCATTTTATTTATTTATCAAAAAATGGGGCGCGACAGACAATACCCAAACAGTTTTTTTTTCTCGAATGAACAGTAACGTGAACAGTACGGAACAGTAACGATGAACAGTAACCGCTACAGTTTTTTTTTTTTTGACAAAAGACACAAACTAATAAGATATGAACAACTTCAATTGAAAGAGAATTAACCTGATGCTCTGATTACCAACTGATGAGCAACCCTAGGGGAAGACCCTCCTAGAACCTCCCAACCTTGTAATTATCAGAGTTGGACCTTTTCTCCCAATGGAAATTGAACTCGATTGTTCTCATGAACTCAAGACCTCTGACACACAAAGGCAATCAGCAACCTTAAGCAAATAAGATGGATGAAGAGACACCACGATTAGGGAACAAACTAATCGATAAAGTCAGATTTGAATCCTAAGCAATGAACTCAAGAATTCAAGAGTAAGTTCGATTAAGAACTTGAAAGGAAAATTCCTCACGATTTCTGGTTGTAAAATATTCTGTCTCTCACTCATACAATAGGTGCCTTTTATAGGCTAAAACTAGGGCAAATTCCGGCCCAAATAAACCTGGAATAGAGTTGCGGTCCGTATAAAGAGCCAGCTCTTTAAGGCTTCCCGATAAGGCCCAATAAGTAATAAAATACTCAACGACTAACAACTACTAAACTAGGCAGTCTTAAAGCAACTACCAACTAAGCTAACAAGTATGAGATCATTCTTTCACTTCAAACGTACAAGTGAACAAGGTAACTTCATGGTCCATCAAATCTTCAAACTTAGCTTACTCCTTGCTTGTATGGTGAATGATCAAGGCTCGTAAAGCTTCCTTCACCTTCTTGGATCTTGATCTTGTCATCGGACCACCAATGTTGATTAAAGGAATCCTTGACCCAAGGCTGAAGTTATTTATTGCACACCCGTATCCGTATCATATATTGCAAAGCCTTTCATGAGCTTTCTGCTTCTCTCATGAAGTTGAGTTTGCCAAGGTAGATGTCATGGTCATTTGGAGGTTAACTAGAATCTAATATGTTTTTGTGCGCAGCAGAAGGTGTTTCTAAAATGATATATGTCTGTGTATATGCTCATTTTGTTGATCTTTATTTGTTGTTGCTTTTCTGGTTGAAAAATTTTGGTTCTTCTTTTGTTTCTTGAAAAAGTTTGTTTCAATTGGCTAGTTTTCTTGAAGGGATGTTTTACAATTGCCTTGTACTGATGTTTTACATTGTTTAGAATTCCTGATGCTTTCTTAATCAAGTATTGAAATACATGAAATATTAAGTAATCAGTATAGACATGGGTATGCTTTGAACAAATGTTTTTCCTTCTATTTTTCTCTTTGCTTGATTATGTTCATTTGTAGAGAGAGAAGAGATGGTGATATGAAACATTTCTTTTGTGTGATTGATATTCTGTGCATTCTAATCTTAGACTGATTCATGTATTGACTGTCATTGAATACTTCATGTAGTTTTCTTTCTTCCTTTAGTTTTTTTAATTTATCAGTCTGTTTTGTTGATTGTTTTCTTCTATACTGAATGCAGGTGCAGAAACATTTCCAAATTCTTCTATGGGCTGGGTTGATGTCAAAGATGTTGCTAATGCACATATACTGGCTTTTGAAAATCCATCTGCTAGTGGAACATACTGCCTGGTCGAAAGAGTGGTACACTACTCTGAAGTTGTGAAGATCTTGCGTGAAATTTATCCTTCCTCAAAACTTCCAGAAAAGTAAGTTCAAGCTCTGTAATTTAGATTTGACTGTGCATTTAGAGATTTACATTTGTGACATAGGATTATATTTGGAATTTTCATGCATGTCCATGTGCGTCTCAGATTTTTCTGTCAGGATCTATTATGCCTTTCATGATTTGGCCCCTTGCATAAATCATGTTTGGGACTCCTAACTGTGATACATCAGGTGTCTGCAACTAATGGCAGAATATATTTTAGGAAACTTTTTCCGTGGATAAGTATTTCAATTAACATTGTTTGCATTATCTGGATAAGTTCAGTGTTTCGTAAAAGCTTAAATACATGAACTTACCGCCAATTGTGTTTTGGAAGTTCTTGTCAAGGGTTCTGTTTGTTGAATTGACAAGTTTTTGAAGCTTTTGCTATTTGAAATCGAATTCAGTTTCAGAACGTTCAGGAAAGTTAACAGTAACTAGATAGTCAATTTATTAAGTACTTCAACTAAGAAATCTAATCCTCGTATTTCTGGTTTAGTTCTTGGAACCTTCGCTCTACGGATATGTCTTTCAGATATTAGAAAATCTTTTGGACTGAGCATATCAGGTCACATGATCATGTTGGAATTTTCATTTAGCTTGCAATTGGCTGTTTGATAACCTACTCTGATGTAGGTTGCATTCTAAAATTTCCTCTTGCTTAACTCCTGAGACCTGTTCTTTATTGGCGCGATCTTCTCCCCAAACTTGTGGCTTTTCTGTCTTAAATGTGCATATTCATTCCCAAATCAATACGATGAAATGAGCTCAATACTTTGCCTTTCATGAAGACTTCTAGTCTAGATAGATTCTTACTAGAAGTCCTGTGAATTGATAATGTGTACATGACTACCATGACATCATTATAGTTTTTGCCCACTCGTGGTAAGAGCATGCATTAGTTATTCACAAATATTCAGAATTCCTTGAACACCAATCTGCATATGCACTAAGCTAGCATACTGGTTTTCTACTAATTGTTGAACCAAGAAAAGCGTCTATGCCTGGCGACCTGATTTGGTAGGATAGCAGATAGATGTGTTATTGAACATCAGGGAAATTTTTGAGGTGGCAAAAGAAATGATGGATGGTCAGTTTAAATTGTTGATGTGCAAGTTTTGACCTTTCTTCATTGCAATCAGATTTTTCACCCGTGTGACCGTACCTTACTTGGAATCATGTCTAAATGGTGAGATATATACATATCCTTTAGTGCATTTTATTCCTTTAGTGCTTTATTTGATGTTGCATTGAGTGGATAAACATTCTTCATATGATTTGTACATGAAGATGTCATGCCTTGTAGTAATTCCTTTAAGGTTAATGAGATTCACGCACCCTTTTTAACATCTTGTGCATCCCCTACTATGTATTTTTGCTTCTATGCCTTTCAATATAGCCTAGAGACTGTAGAAGGGGTGTGCAAGCTAAAAAGGGTGTGTGAGTATCGTTAACCTTTATTCAAGCATTATGCTTACAGCAGTACATATTCTGTACTAATGGCAATGAATTTTCCTGTTCATCACCTGCTGTTCATTTAATTTGGCTCATCAAAGACTGATGAGGAAGTAAGCGAACTTTTACTTGACTATTGCTCCAATTCAACACTATTTATTATTTTTATCAAGCCTTTGATGTTTTTCGGTGAATAACCTTTGTAGGTGCGCTGATGACGAGCCATTTGTGCCGACGTACCAGGTTTCCAAGGAGAAGGCAAAAAACTTAGGTCTTGAATTCATTCCCCTTGAGCAAAGCATCAAGGAAACAGTTGAAAGCCTGAAGGAGAAGAACTTTTTGGACTCTTCTGCTGCACTTTGAATATCGCCCGAAACATGATGAGGAACATCGAGAGTTGGTAGCAGTGCCTATTGAAAATATGTTTTCCAAACCCCTATATGTACCAAGCCTCCCTGACTGGAGTTACATGCATCCACAGAGATTTAGAATCTACATATGAAACAATAAAGTACTCGTCTTTTTTGCTATACTGAAAATTTGAACAGGAAATATCCTTTTGTGTTTCCTGTTGCAAATTCAAGGATATAGCAATGATGAGTAGATTTTAGTGCGTAATTATATGTTGGACGAGAATTTATAAAATCAAGGAGCAGCATTCCTTGTAATATCAGGGTAACGACTTTATAAATTGTGTATGGAATTGTTATCAACAGAATTTTTTGGTACGAATTGCTTTTAGGCAGTCCACCTAAAATCAATGCGATTCCACCCTTGATGCCATTTGTTAATTGGACATGAATGGCTTTCTTTAATTTGTTTTTTATTTTTGGTGGCTGAGTTCTACTTCTGAATCTGTTAACTCTGGATAGTTGGGTAAATTGGAAAAGGATTGAAGTGGAGGTAAATTTCTCATGAATCTTAAACAATGAAAGTCAGGAAATAATTGATAATATTGTACTGCTAAATGTATCACAATCCGCTAGTTAATCTGGCACTAGTGTTCTCTGCGATGGGAAATTGAGTATGTTAGCTTTGCCCAGAATAGAACTCATGTAGAATACTAGCTATGGATAAAAGTTCATTTTATTTTGTGGTAGTGTGAATTAAGGATCCTCTAGTTCGTGTTAATCGCAGAAAATTGATGTTAGCCACCACAGTTGGTGCCATCGTCAAAGAAAAAAGAGCGAAAATTGAAGCAGTGATCATCTGGTTTGGTGGTGGTTCAGTACCTTCCAAGTTATTTTTGAACCTTTTAAGGTCCTCTCGCTCCTCCTAACGTAGGATAATCTATCATATCGAAAAAAAAGATTAATACACGCAAACCCGAAGTGTAAAGATTGAGAAGAAAGAAAAGATAACAAATTTGTTAATACTTAGGTCCTGTTGAATAATTCAATCTACCATTTAAACTTAATGGATTCAAATTTTAATATATTCGACTATTTGACAATCTAAAATTAAATATCTGAATTAATTAAGTGGTACTAAATTTTCTAGACAAAACTTGCTCTTAAAAATAAGTAATAAACTATTCACTTTATCACTGAATGTGATATACATTCTGTGACGCCCCGAAAGAATGAGTGCCAGAACCCGAAAATTTTCTAAGTTTCTAGGGTTTATTTTTTTTAATCGCCCGCCTTTTCTACATTTTCTTTGTTAGAAAATTTTCCCAGATAAATTTTTATGAGTCAATATAGTTGTAAGATGATTTTTCTAGTATCGGTTAGGTTTTGAGAAATTAAGAGCTTATACTGGACGTGGGACTCGCTAGTGTGATAAAATTTTGGTGATTAAGTGATTTTTGTGTTAAATATTATTATTTTATAAGGTGTTAAGAGATAATTAGAAGTTGCTTAGATGGATTATTATTGGAGAGACAAAAGGATAAGTGTTAACTTAAGAAGGTGCCAAGTGTCATGACCCTATTGCAAGTTGGACCTTTGACCAAGACCATGATTTCTTCTTCTTATCTTGACCAAACCTTTTGTTTTCATCATTTCTTCTTCTTGTAAGCATGATGGACGAAATTTTGAGAGAGAAAAGGGAGAGAAAACACAAAAACATTCAGCCTTGATCTCTTGCTTAAATCATGAAAAATCCAACGAAAAATCCTAATCTACACCGATCAATCTTGAGGTAAGGTTTGAGAGAAGCTTTTGGTGAAGTTTTAGAAGAAGAAAAATCCCTAAGCCATCATCTTTCTTGATATTTCAAGGTATCATGTCTAGCCTCCTTGCTTTGTTCTTGATTTTGTTAGATTAATGACTTGTGATGGCTAAAGAGATGTTTTAGTGGAAGATTAGCACTTGAATGCAAAAATTTCCAGATTAGGGTTTCATTTTCCCCAATTCTGCCTGGCACTGTAGCACCTAGTTACAGGCCGAATTGGCCTTAGCTCAAAACGTAAAAGTTGTAGAGGATGATGTTTTATAGTTGTCTACAAAATTTCAGCTCAATCGGAGCAACGTAGCCTATGAAAAGACCGAAATACCCCTGATGCCCTGTTTATGTCCGAACCTGCTAATCCGCTTCTGTAATTGGTTATTTTGACCAGGAATACTACTGATTTGGTTGTTGATGTTTTCTTAAGAATTCTATCCTTGTATCTTAGCTTTCAAATGGCTTTGGAATTACCTGATTTGGAGTTGTGTGTGCTGAGATATGACTAAATGAATTAGGACTGCCACAGTAAACTTTGAATTGGAAAATCTGGGGATGTTTTGGTAAATTCGACCTAGTTAGGGTGAGAACTGGAATGAGTTGTCTTCATAAAAGTTGTAGGTCTTTGTCTTAGCTTCGAAATGGTGTAAAGTTCACCTCAATCCGATAAGTGTAAGTTCAGTTGTGGTTGTTACGCCAAAAGGTGTTTTATCGCCATGTGTTGTATGTGAGATTGTATTTGACTTGAGATGATTTGGTAATATATTGTAGGTTGGAAATGAAGCATTTATGGGGAAATGCTGTCCGAACTTTGAGAATGTATGATTGCTTTGAGTTTGTGATTTAGGGCTCAGATTCGGACAAGGTAATGATATATGATGGGTGGTTTCTGAGCGGTGGAGGTGAGTGACCCTAAATTGTTTCCAAAGTTACTTATGAACCGTTTCCTGCATTATTTACTCGATTGCATATCATGCGTGCTTGCATGTGTTTCATGACATTATTTGGTTTTAATGAGTTCTTGGGGAGTCGTGTGCTGAACACCAATGTCTCCTCCTCTGTGTACTGTTCATCTGGAGCAAATGGCCCCCTCTCTCACTGTTTACTGTTACTGGATCTGTTTGAGCGTTGGATGTTAAGTGCAATGATTTCACTGGCTCACGAGAGCAATAAATGTACATTCGATCTCTGAATCATGACATCATTGAAATGCTTTATCTTGAAATATATTTGAGTACTGATTTTACTGGTTACTCACTGAGCTTTTAGCTCACCCCAAAAATGTTTTATTCCCCTCCACAGGGCTCAAGGCGAAGGAAAGGCTATAGTACTTATTCACGTGACTGGATGGCATATATATTGTACAATTTATTTTGGATTTATTTTATGTAATAGTTGGGCTGGTGTGACTGCTTGGAATTGAAATGGATGTAAGTATACGTCCCACGCTTGGGAATTAGTTTCCGCTTCGCTTAGGATTTGTAATTTTTGGAGAATTTGGAGATTTACATTGCAATTTAATTGAGGACTGTAGTGAACGACTGAGTCCCGGTGAGAGCCGGGCAGGCGACCCGCCGAACCCTTTGGTTCGCCTTAGGGGAAGGTGGGGCTGTCACACATTCAAATATATTAGATTTAATATTTAACAATTCAATAATTTAATGGATTCATATTTCAGATTTCAGGTTTCAAACTTCAATTTTTAGACTTCAATTTTATCAAACGCACTCTTAGTCCCTGAACTTTGCAGTTTCTTTTTTTCTACCCCAATTTTTTTGTTGATTCCAAATTCTTTGCTATCCTTTGTTAATTTTTCTTGTGGCCTCATAGCCCAACTCTTTACATAAATCAACTCATGTCATCATTCTATAAATGCTTATAACATCAAAAGTAACCCGAAATCATCATATCTTGCACAAAACAAGAAATAGTTTAAGAACAACCCATATTTCAACCTCCTACTACTTCACATAACTCAACAAACAAATTGCAGAAACTCTTGTTCTACATCTTTACAAGCTTAAAACGACAAGACTCATGTAAAATTTCAGGGCAAAACATCCCCCAAAAAAAATCACTATTGTCAACCAAGAATGGGAGAAAATTCTAAGAAATTAGTCAACTATGATATAAAATGAAAAGAGTTGATCAGTCAAGGTTATCTACAACTCCTCTAAGAGTTTTAAGTTGAACTAGATAGTGGTGGATTGCTGAAATTCAAGATTCGTGGAATTCCTCTCTGTTGGGATGAAGAACTTCGAATTTCAAGAGCTGAGAAATGGGTGATTTGAACAAGAATTTGAACAGCTTTAGAGTGGTTTTCCTTAGAAACCTTCAACAGAAAAGTTACTCTTCGATGACTTGTGAAAGTGTAGCAAAAGAATCTCCCTAAAATGATGAGTAATGAAAGAGATATTTAGGCTTGAATAGGGCTGGTTCATCAGCCCTGTTTTCTCTTATTTTTCCAGAGAATTTTCTCTCTCTCTTTTTTTTCTCTGAGTCTTCCCCAAATCACTCTTGTATGGCTGATGATCCCACCAAACCTCACCCTTAACATCATGAGACATGAATCAAAGAAAACAACCCAGACACTCATTTATCAGGCTTCAAGCTTCATCCAAATATGCATAAGTATCAAGTGAAAAGAAAACTACATGATGCATGCCATTTATATTAGAAATTGAAAAGAGAGAGTTGAAAATTTTACAATCCTTTCTTGGTGAGTTGGATGAGCTCAATGGTGGCAATGGCTCCTGTAGCAACAACTTTCTTCCTCTACTCCCTTGGGTCCTTTTTTTTTTGTTCCATGTGTGAACCTAGAGAGAAGGAAAGAATGGAGTGATGTGTGTGTTTGTGTTGGTGTGCAAGTGTAGAGTCTAAGAGGAGGAAAGAAAGTTGTGCTTGTTCTTGTGTGTGGGTGTATTGTGTGAGAATTTTTTTTTATCCAAGAGAGAGGGCTTGTGTGTGTGAGTGTGTGATGATGAAATTGAGATAGAGTTGAGGGAGAGGGGAATTGGTGGAGTTGTTGGAGTGATTGTGACCATTGAATTTTTTTTTGATACCAAAAGAAAAAGAGGGTAATGGGGGTGAGGTGTAGTATTGGGGTAATAGTATATTAGGTGGGAAAAAAAGGATTGAAGAGTGAATTTTCTTTTCTTGATTTTCTCGTCTTTTTTATTTTTTCTTTCTTTTTCTCTTTTTTTAGATAAACCTGCAAAAATAAGAAAAATGCATGATAGAATACATGAAAATTAATGACCCATAAATAGATAAAATTTTAAGAAAATATCAAAAAATGACAAAAATTTAGTGTCTACAGCTAGTTTATATCTACCATATAAACATGAGTTTAGTATGAGAATAACTAAAAGAAAATCATTCTAATATCCAGCGTAGAAAATATAAATGAATGCATAATTAATACGGCAGCTTATTTAAAATTTACCTCTTTTGAACATTGTTCACATTTTCTTTGAATTCTTCTTTTACCTGATCAATTGCTTTATAGGGAAAGCACATGGTAGGTTTCCCATTAGAATCCACCATCCTCAATACTTTGATGAGAGGTCAAACTAGAATTGTTGATTATAAATAGTGGTGCTTTCAATTTTCCCCCTTTTTTCTCCTAGCATATACACACTTGCCTTCC